GGGTACACTGCAGTGGATGCGTGCTACTGGTTGGAATGTTATTATGCCCCCTGATTTTGGGGGGGGGGAGTGCATAATCAACTTCATGTGTCTTTTTTAACATCCCTTTGACACTTGAGGGTTTGTGTGATGTAGCTCATAAAGGTGCTGCATCTACACCCCCCCCCAGACGCGCGTAAACGTGCTCGACCTGGTTTCTGGTCTCCCACTTTGTTGTTGCGCACATGAGGCCGCCCTCATGTACGTTACGGCCCTTCAGGTTTGTCAACAGGCAGCGGACTTTGGAGTGGCCTCCCATTTCTATACAACGTCCTCCTGCAGGGAAAACACTCAAACATGCAATTGCCGCTTTGTCGTCTCGTGCTTCCCCTGCATGTGTCCCTCTTAATTGCGCCGCTGTCCATCCCCAATGCTTTTAATGACTAACGCGACTTTCGAACCAGTCAGCACTGTTTGTTCCGCTCATCTTCGCTGGATGAACAAGTGCACGAATTTCATTCTTCCCCATTCGTGTTGGCTCAACCCCCCCTCCCCCGACACAACAGTTGGGTCATCCCTGGAAAAGTGCGAGTCACTCTCGGGGACATTCATTGACTCCACTTTTGTTTAGTGCACTGTTCCCAAGATAGTCTATTTTATTTTTTTATGGTCCATCATACGTTTCCTTTGTTCCGTGTGTGTGTGTGTTGCAATTTTAGCTCATCTCATCTTCAATTAAAGCCACCCAATTAAATTCAATCTCGACATCCTGAAGTCTCTGCAACGGCTGCGATCGTATTGGAAATAATGGCTTGTCCTAGCTGCATTTTTATGGGCCAGATACCTCCTCAAACAATGGCAAAGTGGATTACACTTTACCGTTTACGCCTTTAAAAATGGCAGAGACCTCACAGGAGTTGAGGTTCACATGGCTGGAATAAATGCTGGCTCGACTCCCCCATTTATTTATTTTTAATTACTATTTTTTTGTTAAAAAGCATCCATGAGAACCTCGATCAAGTTATATCAGCATTTAGCCATTCTTCAACATCATCTTCCCTTCTTCTCTCCTCAGGAGCTGTAAGCTGCAGATCAGGAACATCCCGCCTGACATGCGCTGGGAGGTGAGTGCTAACAGGCTACCGAGTGTTTCCGGGGTTTGGTACGTGGTGGGGCACCCCAGCTGGCCTCTTTTTCATTCAGATGCCTTTTGCGGAGGGGGGGGGCGGAATCTCCCCCCACCCCCCACCCCTTTTCTGGGAGCGTTTCGACATAGCACGTTTCATGGGATCGCACATGGCTGTACCTCAGCTCAGGCCAAGCGAGCTCACCAAGTGGTGGGCCAAACTGTGGTTGGAACAAATGATTTGACATGGCGACGCTCAGGTTTTGAGCCAGTGATTGAAAATTCTTTCTTTTTTTCTTTTTTGTGTGTGTAATGCGCAACAAAATTTGGAGAAGCGACATGTTGGCTGGACTTGGAGAAGAAATGTGCAGGAATGCAGCTTGTCATTTGCGTCTCAGAATGAATTGGCTCACTCTTTGCGCCGTGTGGTGAATCTGTGAGTTTCTTTAGCTAATCCGCGTCTATCAGCGCCAACGATAGTGTCGAAGCGAAAGGTGTGTGTGCGCAGATGTAGTGATGATCTGGCACGGGGTGGGGGGGGGAAGAAATGCTGTTTATTAAATAAATTATACTGTCTAAAAAGAGGTTTAAAAAATTTACGCTGGTGATTGACAAGGGCAATGCAGAGGCTACGCTTTTTTGTTGTTTTTTTTTTTTTTGTCCCCTGAAATAACTTTTGTTTTACTACTTGCGCCTCCTTCCCAATTCATGAATGAATTTAATGTTGAAACATCTGCTGTGTGTGTGTGTGTGTGTGTGTGTGTGTGTGTGTGTGTGTGTGTGTCTGAGCGTGTGCATACCGTGAATAAAATAAATAAATAAATACAAAAGAGAGGGGGGAGAAAAACCAACTTGGGATACATCGTTTCAGAACCATTACGGGGCAGTATATGAACTACTGAAGTCTTTTCACGGTTTACAGTGTTGTGCAAAATTAAAGGGTACAAATGTTATGGGACATTGCGTCCTTTCCCACTACAAGAGGATTTAAAAGTTTTGGAGTTGGAGCAAGAGAAGGCACCATTCACTACGCTCTACGATTATGTCAAAGGGAAGTATTTTTAGGCAAAACGCACCCTCAAAATTTCTCTTAATTTAGAACAGTGTGTAGGTGGCTCTGCAGTTGTTTCATTACAAAAAAAAATATAACAAATTCTTCTCTCTCACTACAAAAAAATGGTATGAGTGGAGCAACAGTGTGAGAATGGTGCACAAGTTTCATTAAAAAAAAAATATATATAACAAATTCTTCTCTCTCACTACAAAAAAATGGTATGAGTGGAGCAACAGTGTGAGAGTGGTGCACAAGTCTTGCATTTAAATTCCACTTTATCCGCCATACTGGCTTCGCTTTGAAGTCAATATTCCGACATTTGTGGGATATATCTGAAAGAGAAGGGTGCATGATTTTTATTTTTTAGGGGGGTCTCTCTTTTTTTTAATCTAGATCTTAAATCACCAACCGTGCCTTCCAACTCCTCACTCCCATTTTCTTTGTACAGCGGTGACAGTGTGCGCTCGCAGTGTTGTTCCATTCGGGAAAGAACAATTCAGAATTTCCTCAATGACACACACACACATACTTGTTCAAACGGGAACCGTGATGTGGTGATTGTGCAATTCCAGCTTGCCATAGACTGGCTCGCCGTGTGCATTTATTTCATTTTATTTTTTCTAAAGGCAAGCGCTGGCGTCGCCACACATGGGCCTTAAACTGTGGCTCCACACGTGTTACTAGCATGTAGCCCAGGGTTGCCTTCTCCAAAGGTGATGAGGAGGTCTCCCCCTCCCTTGGGAGGAGGGGGGAGGGTCAGAAAAAAAAAAAAAAAGATCAGGGATCTTTTGATGCCAAGGCCCTCGCATGTATCTTATCAGGTAGATTAGACAATGGTCGTGGTGCATTCCGCCCCTCAGCGTGAACGAGCTGGCGAGAATCGTGGCGTGTTCGCGAGCTGTAGTGGGTGGCTAAGGCCCGGACCGTTTCTTTTCCCCGTCCATGTGCTTTGATTCACAGAATGTGTAGCATGAGTTCGCACCCCTCCCCCAGCCCCTTCTTCCTGCTGGAATGCACCCCACCCTTTTCCTGAATGGCCTGGATTCTCATTGGCCACCCCCTCCCGCCCCACTTGGGGAAGGACAGGCAGCCCAGCCAGCCAGCGTCGGGCGCCGCCGCATTTTGCTGGAGGCGCAGCCAATGACTCGCAGTTGACATGGCAAAGAGGCGGGAGCTTGCTTGGTTGGTGGGTCGCCTCAGGGGTGTGTGTGCATGCGTGGAAGGGGTGGAGGTGGGGTGGGGGGGGGCAAGTCTTGTTGGCTAGGAAGTGGGGTTGAGCTCTTGGAGGGGAAGGGGGCGGGGGTGTGGCCTTGGGTTCAACGGCGTATGGTCAAAGGTCTTGGTTCTGCTTAGATCCTTTGCTCCCCCTCTCGCCCACAGTTGAGCGAATCAATGAATTCAAATGCTGTGGTCTCCAGGTGGCCGAGTTGATGCGTCGCTGCGTGTTGGAGGTTTTTGGAGGAGGAGGTTTCTCCTACTTGCCAAATTACGCCAAAGATTCAAGCGTCTTTATTTCGTGTGTTTTGTGTGTGTGTGTGTGTGTGGGGGGGGTCAAGTCAATCGTCGTTGACCAGCCGTAACCTTAAATATACTTGCGCAATCTAATGAATCACAATAAAAGCGTTTGTGTCAAATGTCTGGCTTGTTTAAAATGATGCTAACCCGAGAGGTAGTGTTTAGCTATGATTGTAGCCTGCGGTGGTGAAGAATACTCATTATCATCGAGGCATTTCGGCTATTTTGATAGTCGTGTCGTGAACATGCATGTCAGAATTAAACGCAGTGTACTTCCACGCCGTTGCAAAAAACAAAAACAAAAAAAAAAACAACCCAACATTGAGAAGCAAATCAAAACTGTTCCCCTTTTTCAAGGCATTTTTGTTCCAACTTGGATTCTGAAGGGGGTCTTTGAGCATAGAGTCACTGATTGAGTGGTCAAAATGTTTCAGTGTGATCATTGGACCCCCACCACCACAAAAAAAACAAACAAAAAAAAAAAGACATGTTGCATCTGTATTAACTGTCAAACTCCAATGGCGCTTAATGCTGTGGCCCAGCTAGACGAACAAGTTCCCATGGATGGGCTTACGCTCAACAACAAAAGGGTCCGGTCAAAGCCCGACCGTGGTCCTAATTATGGCTTTGCTTTTCCCCAGGTGCTGGATGGCGTCCTGGCCCAGTATGGGGCTGTAGAATGCTGTGAACAAGGTGAATATTCGCACGTGCTTGAGATGTTGCCTTTTTTTTTTTTTTCTTAAGTGGGTTTGGCTTGCAGAATTTGTAGGCCTTCAGAAACTTTTTTTTTTTTTTTTTTAATGAATAAAAAATGTCATGTGAAGGTAGTAAATGGTCAAATGATGAGTGAATGTCTCTGCTGTACGCTCCTTCACAGTCAACACTGACACGGAGACTGCAGTTGTCAATGTTCGATATGCAGCCAAGGACCAGGTCAGGCAGTGAGTGTATATACACACACACACACACGCGCGCGCCTCTAAACTCCTCTTCCTTCTTCTCTAGAAAAATTGTCTTAGTTTTTGCAATATGCTGAATAAAAAAAAGTCAACTTGCATTGGCAGAAAGGTAGATGCGATTGAAGCCAACGGGGGTTAGATTTGCCATTTAGTGCCCCCTAGTGGACGTAAATCGCACTTGTTTGGTGATGAGTTCATGTCGTGTGATACAGTATGTCATTTTTTTCCCCTCTAAATGTATCGTTCTACCTGTTATTACGGATTGCAGGCCTAGACAGTTAAAGCGGAAGTCGAGGTCTGAATTTTTATTGCAAATCACATCAGTTGTCACATCATAAATTGCAAAGAAAAAAAAACGTTTTTCATTTGGCTTTTGCTTTAAAGATGGAGTCCGTTCTTCATGTACCTTTCCTTTTTTCCGGCGCGCTCATCCTTACTTAGGTCGGTCGCGGTTGAGCCCGAGCTTATCACGGTTGACTCTGGGCGAGATGTTTTGTACCTAATTTATTGGCTCGTGTGTGTGTGTGTGTGTGCGCGCGCGCGTGCGCCGTTTCTACGCGCGAGAAGAAGCGGTTAATTGAACTGAGTATCTGGTAACGCACACTTATCTTTGGATGCCGCAGAGGTTTATCATCGTGTACTACTCGGAAATTGAGTTAGTGTACAGCAAACGGGGGCATACGTCGCGGCTCGAGCTTGACGCTACTGCGTGCGTTCCGCCTGAGATGCTCAAGAGAGATTTTTATCAAACCAGCGCACTTCTGCTTCATCGGGTTTTGTTTGCTCCGTCACGACTGTGCATCAACCTTCCCGCGCTCTGAATTCACAAGGCGATCAAAGGGCCAAACGTCTCTTTTGTTTTCCTCAGAGCCATCGAGAAGCTCAACGGCTCCATGATGGAGAACTGCGCTTTGAAGGTGTCTTACATCCCGGACGAGACCGCCGCACCGGAGGGTCCTCCGGCGGCGGGTCGGAGAGGCTTCAACGCCCGCGGACCGCCCCGCTCGGGCTCGCCGAGCCTCGGCGCCCGGCCCAAAGTGCAGTCGGACATCCCGCTGCGCATGCTGGTCCCCACGCAGTTCGTCGGGGCCATCATCGGCAAGGAGGGCGCGACCATCCGCAACGTCACCAAACAGACACACTCAAAGTTGGTCGCGGGGGGGTTGGGGGAGAGAAATTGGCGCGCCGGTGACTTGGCAGCGCGGAACGTCATCGCTTCTGATCCTCACGTTTCAGGATTGACATTCACCGGAAAGAGAACGCAGGCGCCGCGGAGAAGCCCATCACGATTCACTCCACGGCGGAAGGTTGTTCAAACGCCTGCCGAACCCTCATGGAGATCATGCAGAAGGAAGCACTAGACACCAAGTTGTGAGTTTGCAGCCCCGCCCCCTCCCTCCCCTCCCCTCCCCGGTTCGACACTCGAAATTGACGCTGTTGTGAAAGGTGTAAAACATGCAAGATTGTGGCCCTCGAGGACGGCTTTGGAAAAAAGGCCACGAGAAGCCTCAAAATACACATTAAGCGGCTTCTCATGTTTAACATGAAGGTGACTTTGATTGTTTTTTGTTTTTTTTTTTTTTCTTGCAGTACTGAGGAAATCCCACTAAAGGTTCTAGTACACAACACCTTTGTCGGAAGATTAATCGGCAAGGAAGGACGAAACCTGAAGAAAATCGAGCAGGACACGGGGACCAAAATCACAATCTCGCCGTAGGATCTTTTTTTTTCAAATATTTTCCGACAGAGTTTCCGCTGAGAGCGCTTCCGTGCGCTCCGGGGGGGTGGGTAAATCTTGACGCGCCGCTCGATCTGTGCAGTCTTCAGGACCTGACCCTGTACAACCCGGAGCGGACCATCACTGTGAAGGGCTCCATCGAGGCATGCGCCAGAGCGGAGGAGGAAGTGATGAAGAAGATCCGAGAGTCGTACGAGAGCGACATGGCTGCCATGAACGTGAGTTGGAGTTGTCGCGCGTGGCCGCAAACTGCGATCCGAGACTGCGTCAAAGCGGCTCATTCATAAACAAAACGGATTGTGATGGATTTGATTTTCTCTTTTTTTTTCTTTTTTCTTTTTTTTCCTCTTTTGCAGTGTACCTAATGAGAACTGCAAGTTTAATTCGCCAAGTGTGTTGTGGTGAAGACCTTCATGCTCTTGGTTTTGTCAACTGAAAGTGTTTTTTTTTTCCCCTCCCCCCGCCCCCCACAGCTCCAGTCTAACCTGATTCCAGGCTTGAACTTGAACGCTCTCGGTTTGTTCCCCAGTGGCACACCCGGCATGGGTCCATCCATGTCCCACGTCCCCCCTCCCGGAACCGGCGGCCCAGCATTCGGAGTAAGTGGCGGCCTGTCAAATCCTGTTGAAGTAGCGCGTCCCGTAGACTCTGATCATGCAGCGCGAGCGGGGTTTCCCTGACTCACTTTGGCGCGATTGGCTCCGGCATCTTGGAGCTCTATCATTTAGTTAGTTCGTAGCACCCACCCTCCCCCCTCCCGTTTGATGTTTCTGTCTTCCTGTAGTGCAGTCCTTATGGGGGCGAGGGTCCATTTTGGGCTCCTGTGATGTCGGCGAGCAGCCAGCCCCTCGCCGTAAGTCACCTGTCCCAAAGAGCTTTGCACGGCTTGCGGCTGCTCGCTGCGGGATGACTCGCCGGGGGTGGCTTGCGTCTAACAGTCTCGAGCTGCCCCTCCCCCCTTTCCACCTCTCAAGCTTTCAGGCCCTCATCCGTGTGCGACCTTTAACCGGCAAGCGCGGGAACCGGCAGCTTGGCTACTTAATGTTTTACTAGTGCTCGAGATGAGGAAAGCGGTACCTCGACGTGAAGGCAGTCAAAGCAAGTTGTTGGCCCCGAGCTGGCGTATTGATTGGGGTATTGGTCTCAATCCAAGATCGATAACGTTTGAGTGGTTGGTGTGTGTGGGGGGGGGGGGGGGGGGGGGGGAAGCTCGTTGTGTCTTTGAGCAAGTGGTGCGCTGTGGCACTTTGCATGAGAGCATCTGTTATGTTTTTTTTTTTTTCCTGGAATGAAAACAGTTCTGTGAAGTCATTGTCCGAAAGGCGAAAAAAAAAAAATCCTCCTTTTTAATGTAATTTTGCAGATGTTGGAATTATGAGTTTTAGATTGATTTTAAATATTTTTCCTGGTAACGTTTGGCCAAATTTATGGGTGAGGCGTAAGATGACCACATTTCACTGCCCCATATGCTTTTCTGGAGGCTGAACTGGCTTTAAAAGTAGATTTATAGCGCCACCTGTTGCTTTGGCCGTGTGCTGGACAGTCCATTTTCACATGAACTAACATCTTGCAATGGAATTGCCCAGTACTTTTTTTTTTCTTTTTAAATACAGTGGTACCTCTCGTTATGAAATGAATTGGTTCTGGAAGAAATTTCTTAACTTGAAAATTTTGTAAGTAGAGACGCATTTTCCATATGAAATACCCTAATCCATTCGACGCCCCGCAAAATTCAGACATAAATGTTTTCTGAAGCACATAAATGCATCAAAATATGTAACCCATACATATGACAATTAGATTATTGCACAATCAATGAGAGTTGTGCATAATGTAAAAAAACAAGGAATAAAAATGATGGTCCGTTCACTTTTAACTGCGTCATCATCATTGTTTTTGCCCTCTTTAGTTTATGTTCTCTCTGAGAAGTCGTTTTTGCCTGGAGTTTTATAAAGAACTGACCCAAGGATGTTTGCTTTTGTCGGCTTTTAACAATCCTCCGAAAATGTCCAAGGCAAACATCGGCAGAGTGAGCGATGGCCATTTTTTTCCGGTTGATTCACATTTACGTAAAAAACGATCGGCCCACCTCATGGCCCGAGGAGCGAATGTGAGGACCCCGTCTCGACACAGATCTGTCCGTCGACACAGACAGATACGGTAGAGGTCCCTCTTAGCCAATGGGCTGCCATTATGAGGCTCGGTAATAGCCAATGGCAGAGCAGCTACACGTATGTTGCTGTCAGGAAACTCGGAGCTGCGGCGAGCAGCTCGGACTGTATTTTGACCTTTCGTAACAAGAGGCAATATTTTCCCGTTGAGGCGTTTCGTCACTTGAAAATTTCGTATGAAGAGACGTTCGTAAGTAGAGGTACCGCTGTACAGTACGTTTTACGTTGCTACTTTTATTTTTATGTACATTGTCAAAAGCGCTGCTTTGCCAATGTCAGCGGCGTAGTGGTAATATTAGCCCAACTAACAAAGGTGCTGGACTGCAATCGCGTTGTTGAGAGCATCACCGGGATGAGTCTGTGATGTTCAGCGGTGCTGTGAGCGACAGCATCCAGGCCCAATTAACAATAATATGTTCCCGCGCACCAGGGACACCCAGAGTCGGAGACGGTCCACCTGTTCATCCCCGCGCTTGCCGTGGGAGCCATCATTGGGAAACAGGGTCAACACATCAAGCAGCTGTCGCATTTTGCCGGCGCCTCCATCAAAGTGAGTCGGCCGCGAATATTCGCGTAATTCCTCGAAACGCCGGGGTCGCCTCATCTCTCGTCTCCTCCAGATCGCCCCCGCGGAAGGAATGGATCCCAAACAGAGGATGGTTATTATCGTCGGACCACCAGAGGCTCAGTTTAAGGTGCCGCACGCCCACATAAACGCATAAATGGAGGTGTCTTTAAAGTTTATTTCCCAGGCTAAATTGCCATGTTGTCCCTGTTCCGTGGCAGGCTCAGTGTCGCATCTTTGGCAAACTGAAAGAGGAGAACTTCTTCGGACCGAAGGAGGAGGTGAAACTCGAGGCCCACATCAAGGTGCCCTCCTTCGCTGCCGGACGCGTCATCGGAAAAGGTGGCAAAACGGTAAGCTTCCAACGTTTGAGCGACCGCCCGTTCGTTTGCTTCCGCGGTTTCGTTAAAACGGTGGTTCTGTTGGTCGCAGGTAAACGAGTTGCAGAACCTGACCTGTGCCGAAGTGGTGGTGCCCAGGGACCAGACCCCCGACGAGAACGACCAGGTCATCGTCAAAATCAGCGGACACTTTTTTGCGTGTCAGGTGGGGACTTCTTCTTCTTCTTCTTCTTCTTCCCAAAGTTGCATTTCAGAGCCTTTCCATAAAGATTTAGAATGGGTTCGCAAAAGCGCACCATACAAGGTGACGTGTTGAAACATTTTGCAAGTCGAGGACACGCCCCTGAAAAGTTGGTCATGGCCCAAAAACGTAACCAGGGAGGTGTCAAGTCTGCAACTGTGCTCGGCTCGGCAGTTGACGAGGATCTGTCGCTTGCCATCATGGCACCAAAAGCCCTACCTTGAGGAGGAAGTGAATTTTGCTGTGGTCACCCTGCCTTTGCGTTAAGCTAGGTCTGGGCTATGAATAAATGTAATCAACTGGAGAGTTTTTTTTCCACTCGGGCAGAATTTTTTTTTTTTGAGACGGCAAGCTTCTGCAATTCAAAGCGCATCCTCCCCCCGACCATGCACTGCTTGCTTTGACATGCCTGCGAACAGAGCCGAGCTAATTTACAAAAAGCAGAGCCCGTCTAGCCAAGATATTTGCTTTTTCCGACCCCTCTAGGGACAATATACAGTAAGCGAAATCATTTTCGCATGGTTTTCCGTATGACAAGGAAAGCAGCCTGGTGGAAGGCGATTTCAGGAGTCAAAATATTGCGAGCATTCGCAAGACATAGAGGGGGTTCTTCGGATGCTCAAATCTGCAAGCCTTTTATAGGAACCTTTCCTGAACCTAAACGGAAAATCGTCATCAGGGAACTGTCGAAAAGGAATTGAACTCCATTTTGTCAAATGATGTCACCATATGATGGCGATTATTGCTGTGGAAAACTCTCAAGGCGGACGACGAAAAGTACTCCATTTGAGTCACGTGTGCTTATTGTATTTATTTTAATCGGCTCAAAACTTTCTGGGAATCGAAAGTGGACAAATCTTACCAAAGCCATACATGAAACCGATTTTTTTTTTTTTGCCCTGCAGCTGGCCCAAAGGAAGATTCAGGAGATCTTGGCTCAGGTGAGAAGACAGCAGCAGCCCAAGCCGGCGCCCGGCGTTCAGCCTCCGCTGCCCCGCAGGAAATAACGTGCCAGCGTGCGCTGGAGGAAAACGGTGACTGAAGCTGCCTGACTCATGAAGACGGTTGGCGGGACGGATGCAGCGGAGTCCGGGAGGGGTGGGGGGGGTTCGACGACGAGGTGTTACGAACGCTCTTCTCAGGGGTCAAAGGTTATTAGAAGCCTACCAAAACATCCAGCCCCTCCGCGCCTCACTTGAACGTTCAAGTGTGGCTAAGAGACGCCCCCCCCCCATCCCCCATCCCCCTTACTTCTCCTCCTCCTACTCCTCTTCTCTAAACCGCCACCAACCTCACCTCTCTGCATCACTGTAGGAATGTATCGGAGGGCTCCCGTCGACGTCACCTTGCCCTCACATGTACGCACCCCTCGACCGCTCTCCTCCTCCCCAAAGGGCGTGTCTCTCTTTTTTTTTCTCCTCCCCGTTTTTTATTTTATGATTTTTTTTTTTTTTTTTTTTTTCGTCCTTGGTGCTCTGATTGCTTTTTTTCTTTCTTTGAATTTTTTTTTTTTTTTTTTAAACTTGCAACACAAAGAAGAAATGAAGATCCCCCTCCTATCGCCTCTTTGGTGTGGTACTTCAAACCCGACAAAGATGTTTTGGTTGACTTTGGATTTGGTTGATACTTTTCAGTGTTTAATTGGTTAATGAAGCTTTCTCATGAGTGTAAAAAGAAAAACAAAAAAAGGCATTGCTCTTACGGTCCTGGTGGGGACCGCCAGAGGTTTATTTCGGGGTGGGGGGGGGAGAGTTGGCTCAAATTGGTAGGGCCACGTTTAGGGGAAAGATTGTCTGAGGCCAGGACCCCTGAAGGGGTGGATTATAAACTGGGTGTCCTGCCCGTCTAATGAAAGTGGCATTTTATAAATTCGGATGCATTTTATAGATAGTCCTAAATAGATGAATTATATATATATATAAAAATACATAGATAAACAAACACCAGGCATATATCTATCTATAAATAAATATATATATATTTAGAGGTGAGGGCAGCGCCGTGACTGACACTTTGGGAAATGGTGCTGAAATGCTGCTGCCCAGGAAAACCAGTTTAATATGCATTTTACTTAACTACCTCAGGATCTAGTACCTCAGAAGAGACAAAAAATGATTATATATATATAAAACTATAGAAGAAAAAAAAAATGTTCCTTTTTTCTTTTTTTTTTATTTTTGCTTTTGTGGTATTTTGTATACTTTATAAAGCTGATAGTCTTTGAACATTTTTATTTTTTTAAGAAAAAAAATTTAAAATTTTTTGGTCGGCTGCCAACTGACCCTTGCCTTCAACTCTAGTGCTTTACGGTGGCATTGTACATGTGTGTGAGTGACTAAAGATGACCCTGTACATAACGTCTATTTGTACATAGCAGCCCCAGAGCCGGAGTTGGCACGCCTCAGCTGGCGGCTGACACGAGTATCCAGAGAGAATCGCCTCAGTTTTTCCCCTGAGGGTCCAGCCATCTCTTTTTTTGTTTTTTGTTTTTTTGGAAAGAAAATTACAAAACACCTTGCGACTCAATGCCAACCGTACATGATTACAGCAATGCCATTTAGTTTTGGGATTGACTTTATCCGGAACGGTACTTTAATTTGTCCGTGAAATTCAATTCATTTCTGTGGTCCGGGTTAGATAGTGCAGGGTGGACTCGAACGCTTCTGCGCCCGTCAGAGCCCGAACCCGACCAGCTTAGCAAATTTAATCAAGTCTACGTGAACGTCGATCACTGCATGGTGAGGGTAGGGGGAGTCGCACTGATGGATGCGTGTTTTTTTTTTTTTTTTTTTTTTTTTAGTTGCTACAGCAAAACATGATTTGAACGTTTTTGTGACCCGCGCAAGTGTAACGTTGTTTTATCGACACAGACTGACTTAGGAGGGATAAGAAGTACAAACCCTGACTCGGAAAAGAAAAAAAAAAAATCAATTTCATTTGTGTCATCATGCCGAATGTAAATATGTTGATTGTGGTAGAAGCCCTTTTCCAGAACACTTTCTTTTCTTACCACCCCACACCGGCGCGCCATCCTAACATCACGCTTAAACTGAGTGGCACAAGTGATACTTAAAATGATCCCCTCTGACCTCCCCTCCACGCCCACCCTCCCTTTTCTCCGCAGTTTGTTTTGATCTACCTCTTTAGACAAGTATTTGAAGTAGAGGCATTCTATTTGTTAGAATTTAATCCCGCTCCCATCCCCCGCATATGAATTAAAAAAAAAAATACAAATCGTATACTCTTTAGAATTGCGAAAATTTATGGATTCTGCGCCCGTCAAAGCCCGAACCCGACCAGCTTAGCAAATTTAATCAAGTCTACGTGAACGTCGATCACTGCATGGTGAGGGTAGGGGGAGTCGCACTGATGGATGCGTGTGTTTTTTTTTTTTTTTTTTTTTTTTTTTAGTTGCTACAGCAAAACATGATTTGAACGTTTTTGTGACCCGCGCAAGTGTAACGTTGTTTTATCGACACAGACTGACTTAGGAGGGATAAGAAGTACAAACCCTGACTCGGAAAAGAAAAAAAAAAAATCAATTTCATTTGTGTCATCATGCCGAATGTAAATATGTTGATTGTGGTAGAAGTTGAGTGTATCCATGCTTCCACAGTAGAACGCCGTCTACCTCAGCTAAAGGGGGCGGGGTAGGGGCGGCTGTTGTGCCACCGAGCGCGCCCCCCGCCCCCTCCCTGCCCCCACTGAGCGCCAGCGCGCACGTATACCTATCCCCCGCATATGAATTAAAAAAAAAAATACAAATCGTATACTCTTTAGAATTGCGAAAATTTATGGAAAGTGATCAAAAAAAATTTTTTTTCAGTATTTATATGTACTCTTTTTGGCTTAATTGAACTCCTCCAACCATCACCATGTCTTTCTGCTTTCTCTTTTTGGTGGTGTGGCTTCCTTGTATTTGAACTTTTTGCTTTTTTTGGGCGGGGGAAAAAAAAAGGTCAAATCACCTGTTTTGATTTAGCTTTCAATAGTTGATGAGAAAATGCAGTTGTTGTTGTTGTTTTTCATTTTAAAGGGCCTGCCTTTTTTTCTAATTTGTAAGACTACAAAATAGATACAAGTCCTGTCTTGTTTCCCTTTGTCTTTCACAAATGCTACTCAATTGCTGATTTTTTTTTTTTCTCTCTCTTGGTAGCCATTTTCTTCTGTTAGCATTTCTTGGCTGTGTAACATTCTACTATGGGACTGAATTCAGGGATTGGGGTCCCCCTTTTATTTGGGAAAGTGATCTAACTACAGCATGAACCCACCCCCCCTTTACCCCCCGTCTGCAAACATGCTTGTGCCCCTTCACCTCCCCCTCACACAGTTCCACTTGTCAAATGCCTCTGAATAAAGGACAAAAAAATTATATTGTTGCCGATCCTAGTTTTTTCTTTTTTTTTTTTTTTTTTTAATCTATGAGATGTAGTCTTATTTCTGTCAGTGTTCTTGCATTCGTGCCCGCAGGAAACGGCATCACTCGCTGATAATTTGTATTGGAGATTATATGGCCCACTTCTTTTAAAATCATTGCTAATCAAATGAAGCCCAAAGATTTCTTTATTTATTTATTTTTTATATTGAATGGTCAATTGTTATCCATAAAAGCAAAAGTGGCTTTCATAGGTTCCAGAATAGGTTCACATCTTCTCCTTGTAAAAGTCAAGAATAATCTTGGATTTATAACAGTGATTAATTGCAAACACACACCCCTGGAGCTGGTGTGTTTAGAGAATTCTCATGAAACTGCTTCTTGACAAGAATTAGTTAGTTGACAGCTTTTATTCGAGACCCCGTAACGCTCTTAACGTCTCATTGCTAATTCAAGCTTGGCTGCTTCACACTTATTAGAAACTCTTTAAACACCATATTGCATAATGTATTCCTGCAAAATGATTACATACATAATGGTTTCCTCTCCTGACATCTTAAGCACATATACTGTTATGTGAATATTAAAGTCATCTTTAGCATTTAATGGCGTTTGATCCTCGTTTTTTTTTTTTATATATGCATTGGATTTACCATTAACTGTGACAGTAAGTGCCATGAGGGAGAAGCAACTAGAGTTGGTGCGTCTCGGTCAGCAGGTGATGACGCTCCTCGTTTGAGGGGAAGAGCGCCTCCCTCAGGCGCATCACGCTACCTGCAACCCCAGCGCGGTTGCCGGCATCCTCCAACAGCGACCGACGAATGGGCCGGTACACCTTGTGGCGTCTGGGAAGAAAAATAAGATGTGCGGCATCACGAGTTGGCAACTCTACCATTGAAAAGTTTGGTGGTCACCTCGAAATGGCGTGTTTGCGTGTGCGCGCACGCACGCGCAAAGAAGCTTTTTTTCCCTCTCGTTTACAATACTGTACTGTATTTTATGCGCCCCCTCGAGTCCAAACATGACATTCTGATTAATATTGTGTGTGTACAATTTGAGTTAAGAAATAATATTCATCTGCTTTTATTCAGCTCAGGGGATGGTCAGATGGTCATTTGATTTTTACCACTTGTGGACTGACATCACAGTTGCTTAGGTAACGACCAATCACGGCTCACCTGTTCACTGAGTTTGGTCATGTGACATTCGCAAACTGAGGCGTGACTGATTGGTTATTACCTGAGTAACTGTGATGTCATATTTAGTCGACAGCAAATGGCAAACTGGACGTACCTGAGATGGATAAAAGCGGGTGACTTTTACTGCTGAATTAATATATTTATTGTTAACTGTTTTTTTTTAGTTCCCCTTTTAACTGTTAGCTCTAAGACAAGCGAGCGCATTGCTAATGCACTTTGGGATAATTGTAACAAACTGTGGTAAGTTGTACCATTTATAAAACTATACAAATCACCACAAGCTAAATCGCACTTGAATGATAAGTACAAGTATGAGTTTTATTGGATAAACTATTACCCTTACAGTTCAGACAGCCACATTCAAGCGACGTGAGTTTTCACCTTCACAAGTAACTGATCATCCCATCTACCAACCAAGCTTCTACTCTGACTACCGGATAAAACCTCTGCCCCAGCTCTGAACCAAGCTAATACAAAAACTCCGAAAGTTGCTCGACCCGAACGAACACTTATAACCGTCACACCTGTCAAGCTGACATTGGAAGCAGAGCAAAAGATGAATCTTGAGAAGGTAAAACGGAAAATAACCGTTTTCTCTCTCTCTCTCTCTCTCTCTCTCTCTCTCTCTCTCTCTCTCTCTCTCTCTCTCTCTCTCTCTCTCTATATATATATATATATATATATCTAAAAGTTATCATGGCCCTTATTTCATAATGTGACAAATATACCAGTCAGTCTCTTTTTGACACATAATGGGGTTATTTTTGGCCCAGTTGTTTTTGACCAAAGGAGCTGCATTCCAGTTTCCGAATATCCAGACTGTCTGGGCAGAACATCAGCAACTGGAGAGGTGTGACAAATCTGCATGCAATTCCAATAAGGAAGTCTTCAAGATTTATTTCCGGTATTGTCTTTGACCATATTTTTGATTAATTCAGTGTTCTTTACAAAACAGTATTGTTTAAAGGATGTCTAAAGATAAGAATTACTTACCTGTAAACAACACATGCAATCAATGCAAAGAAAGCTCCCAGTACGGCGCTTGTAGATAGGATCACTTCAATAGTATGAGGGTTCTTGGACTCTTGAGGAGAGGAAATTGTCCATAAACTTTTTGCAAACAAGTAGACTTACTCGAACACTCTCCATTTCACTCACCAGGGGTCGCTTGCAACTTGTTAATGGTGACGGTGGTGCTGGTCAGTGTCATGGTACGAGAATCCTGCAACGTGATGTTGACGCAGTAGGTCCCCGGCTTGAGAAAAGTTCTCCTCAGGTTCACCTCGCACTTTGCGGAAGGAGGAACGTCGTTGCACATGATGCTGTGCACCGAAGTGCACGTGGGGTCCGACACAATGGTGCACGCCGAAGTGGGGACGCTGAAGAGGAGGTAAGACGAGTATCAGCGGTTCTCAAACTTAAAAGAGCATTTTTAATATTATTGTAAGCCACTGTAATGTGTTGTGCAGTTTAAAAATTAACACTGCACTTACATTTATGAAGATTAGAAAAAGAATATTTACTGTATTGCAATTACAAGTTTAAAAAAAAATATATATTATATATATATATATATATATATATAAACACATTAAACAAACAGACCGAGATCGACAATGTTTCGTCACATGAAAAGGTGATATACACACCTGCCCAGGCATTTCACCAGGAAGCTGATGTCAGTCTTGGTTACTCTGGCAGCCAACACATCAACAATGCGGCTGTTGGCCTTGCTCTGCAGTGGACGCTTGGGCTCTGTGGCAAAAAAAAAATGCGGTGCAGTGATGAATCAGGAAAATGTGTTCATTGCGACAATGGACTGCTCTCAGTGAGTCAAAATTGGAACTAAACTATGATTTTGACCAGTATTCATTTTTGCACTTAAAGATGCAAAGGAATGGAGTCAGCCCACTTTAATCCTCATTTGCTCTGATTGTCCTTCATCTCTCAGATCAGACCGGATGGGTAGAAAGAAAATGGCTACTGCCTGACACCCACCGATGATGCTGATGTTGCCTACAAAGATTCCGTGCACGTAGCGGACACACTCGTTGCCCTCGAGCACACGCTTGCTGCGAAGCAGAGCACAGAGGGTCGACTCTGGGGTCACGCTGGAATCAACGGATGGGAGGACTTCTGTGGTGGGCAAGCCCATTGTCATGGTGACAGGAGATGAGCTGGATATCACTGAGATGGCTGCAAGAAGTGGCATGACGACATGAATTCATGGGACCGGCAGCCATGTTTGCGGTACGTGCAAATTAGCAACGCAGGCACTTCCGAGCTCACCTTGGGGGGTCGTCGTCATGGCTGGTGGAGACGTGTGGCGTTCTACAGGTGGAATACAAACATGACCACCAAGGACAATTATTAGCAATAATAAGGTTGTATAAATATTTTTATAACGGATAGTATTATTACCAGTAGGCGGCGGTGTGGACGTTGTCGGCACGGAGGTGGCGGTAGCAGGCGGACACTCTGTTGGAAACGCTGCCTCCACCACTAGCTTGACACTCCTGTTGCCCACCGTGCTGTAGGCGTGCGTGGTCACATCGCGGTGGGTCACCACCTGGTTGCCATCCTTGAAGTCCCACATATAGTCGAGGGCCACCGCCGTCTTCAGGTAACCGCTCGGGTCGTGGAGATGCACTCGAAAGACGACATCCTCGCCTCGGAAGAACACGTGGTTGGCGGACTGGTTGACCGCAGACTTCTGGGAGATGTCCACCGCCACTGGGATCATGTCTTAACATGGACAAGCACAGAGACCATCAATGGACAAATCTCGCCTAGGTTACAAACCAGGCGTGGGCAAACTTTTAGTGCTGAGGGGCCATATTTGATTGTTAAAAACCGACGCTTCGAGAGGCAAAGTGTGTTGAGACCATTTTGAGATCTAAAGATAAATTTAAAAAATCTTGAATTCTAAATAGCAGACGCAGCCAGTGGAGGATTATGCTCCCTCTTCGGTGTTCCAGTTAAGACGCAAACAGCAAGATGAGCAACTCTATTTCAAATAAGCAATTTTTTGGAACTGATGAATGCAACAAATATCACAGCACTTAAATACTTTTTGGGCCATACTTTCAAAGAAGAGTATACTCTACCCGTGACGTAGAAAACAATGTTGTCCATACTCAAGGGACTGTATTTCCTGCGCTCACGTTTACGGTACACCATGACCTCCATGACCTCAGCTCCCAGAGGGATGCTGGAGGTGTTGAGGTTCAGACTGGAGGAGTGGCCGTCACATGTCTCGAAATATTGTCCTGTATCAAGAAAACAAATAAAATGATGACCAAAAAATAATAGGGCTGATCGCACAGTTAATTATTGCGCTACAAGATTAAAATAAAAAGCTCAATCAGTGCAACACTATAATACAGTACATACAGGAGCTGATAAAAATTCAGCCATGAAAGTGAACCATTGTTTTGTGTCGCATAAGGAAACCAAAATATCCATCTACGCATCTATTTTTTAATCCGCTTATCCTCACAAGGGTCACGGGTGTGTTGGAGCCTGTCCCAGCTGTCTCCGGGGCAGCCTTTTTATACTCACTGTAAGTTTGCCGTGGTTGTGGAATGAATGTGATGAGGTGTGTGGAGATTCCTCACCCATCGTGTGCCACACGTAGACGTAGTTCTTGCGCCTCCAGTCGTTGCTCTGAGGGAAGGGCTTCCCATCAGGGAACGCATTGCATTTGCTGGCGTCCGTACATTTGCCAAAGCCATAGTCGTCCATCCACGACGTCCAGTTGTACACGTAGCCCGAGCGCGCTTGTCCGTTTGCTGCAATAAAGCAAAGTCTTGTGATGCGGACCGCTGTTGCATATACTCCAAACGGTTTATAAGGGATATGAAGGCCAGGCAGGGCCATTTTGACAGCACCTGAGGCCTCCAGCTCCGTACCGTCATCACAGTGCTCATCCCACACGAGTTCCCCGCTGTCGTCCTCTTTCTGGCATGGCGGATACTCCAGCTTGGCCGTGAATGAGATGACGGAACCGTTGAGCGCTGGGCTGTCGCTGGTGAGGCGCACCGTGGGTTTGCCTCCTGTGACATTCAACGGTTTTACAAGACTCAACAGACCAAGCGCCGGGGCACATTAATTCGAGTGATTTCAGAGCTCATCATGTGGAATGTGAGAAATTATTATTCCAGTCTTTTTTTTTTTCCATCCATCTGTGAAAGTGACATATTGTGACCAATAAAGCATTTAATGACTCTTTCACAAGATGTCAGAATGTAAAATCGACCTTTTGTTATTCCTACAGCGGAGTAATAACTTTGCGTTCAATTAAACAGGCTCAGATGTCACAAAAAAGTACATTTGTTTGAGTGTTGAACTCACCTCGTCTGCGCATGAGCTCCTTGGGTTTGGGTTTTATGGGCGGGTAGAGGTAGTCGTCCCATGGGCTGCTGTCGGGAGTCCAGCCTGGGATGGGTGGGATGGGGAAAGGAGACTTTCCTCGGGCGCTGTGCTTGTGGGGGAACATGTCAGCATATGCTGGAGAAAGAAACGGGGAACGGTTACCCAGACAAAAAAAAAAAAAAAAGCTAAAGCAAAAGTTTGCATTATGCATAGTGTCATCAAGGACTCTAAACCGACCACGGGCGAGAATGCGCTTGGCTGGCAACCGGTCCAGGGTGTATCCCGCCTCATGCGCAATGACTGAATATTTCACACATTTGTATTCATGTCATTTTTTTTTTTTAAACGTGTTCATCTGCAGTGCAATGGAATTACGATGCCAGGAAATATTTTGTATCAGACATTCATTCTTGTCCAAATGTGACGCAGTAACATTGGCCGCAACGTCATTCCGTTGCGTCAAAACCATCAATAATCAACATTGAGTGTAACATGTCAGTGATTGCATTCGATTTTTTGTGTTGCTGAGCGTTGACAGACTTTTTTTTTTTTTTTTTTTAGGAGTTGGAAAGTACGCAGTCAATTGTCACCGGTGGCGACTCGGCTAATCAAACTCATGAGACTGACTGCAACAGCGAGCCGGAGGGAGGACATCATCGCGGTGAGTAAAATAGCCAACATTTACAGGAGTTGTCCTCTGCCACCCCCCACAATACAAGTCAGCAAGCAAGCGTCAAACACACGCATTTAAATGAAATACAGCGACCCATTTCAAAAGTTTCCTTTCTCTCGCCGACGTCTTACTTTTGCGTCCATCCGCTTGATGAACGAAGCCGACGCACCCCAGAAGAAAAATATATTTCAAGACTCCCATCTCTCCCCCCTCCAAAAAAAAAAAAAAAAAGCCCAAAAGTCAAGTCGTCCCTCTGCGCTTGAGTTGATGTTCTCCCACTACCCTGCTCGTCCTGCTGCGGTTTGCCTGTTTGTGTGCTTGCATGCAATAATTGAATCTGGTTCGGGTGAGCACATAGACATGTGACCCTTGTTAACGAGACACATCTCATCCCTCATTAGGGTGCCATGAGGCAAGCAAGTCATGAGGAGTGAGGTGCATCCTCTTCCTCTTTTCTTCTGTCCACTTCTAAAGAAGAATCCTCAAAGTGAAGTTAAGACACGATACGTGTGGTCTCGGATTATTGAATGCAGCTTTTAAATCGCGCAAAGGTGTGTCCTGCCCTTAGATGCGAAATTCAATTGATCCATACTCGGAATCAAACATCGGCTCTAATGAGACCAACTGAACAAAGTCATAAAAATCCCCCAGACGGTCCAATTGCATGAATGTGATTCCATTTTCGCTGGCACGTGTTTGTCCACGGGATTGTGACTTGAACCCATACTGACCCAACGATGGGCCCGAGCTCGTTGCGCCACAGCGGCCCAAAAGCAGAAGCAAAGTGGACAAACTGCGTGTCATCCAGCGTGATTGCCGTTTTTGTTTCAGCGCGATTACCCGTCACAAGGTCTCTGCCCAATTTAATTTCCATTTAAAACGTCAAAGCGAAAACAGCACAGCGGGCTACTGGCTCACATGTGTGCCTCATTGTTCTGAGGTTTTTAAATCTCTGCTCTGGCCTTCCTGAGTGCATTGCGCTTGCATGTTAGGTTCATTCGACTGAAAACAAAAAGAAAACTACTTCCACATTTATGCCACTATGATTTAGTCCCACAAAAGTACATTTTTAAGAGTCATTCGTATACCTTCGTCATTATTTTTGTTCAGTTCATCGGAGAAGCGATAATAAAAACCACAGTCTGTGCATCCGTCAATTTTGTAAAGCACCGGCGCCAATTGATGAATAACTAGTTTTAAAATCAGAAGTCAAGAATAATGACTGTTATTGTGGATTACATCTCATAATTTGAAATTTTGGTTCAGACTTTAGCAAGCATCATGGAACTTGACATGCTTGATTTGCTTTCGCGGGCCACATAAAATGGTGTGGCGGGCCAGATGTGGCCCCCGGGCCTTGACTTTGACACCTGTGATTTAGAGTCTTCGTGTTAGGTTCACAGGCCGTGCATTAAAGCTCTCTTTTTCTCTTACTGGGCACATGCCGTGTTATTTAATCGAGAGGTGAAATGCAGACACGTTCCGAGTGTGTGTGTGTGTGTGTGTGTGTGTGTGTGTGTGTGTGTGTGTGTGTGTGTGTGTGTGTGTGGGTGTGTGTGTGGGTTAAGGGGGGTCGGGGGGGGGGGCACGTGCACATGTGGTGCTGCTATGTGCTGGCAGGGAACGCCTCTTCGTCTCAGCGTATTTTGGCTCAAGTAGACGACATATGGAAGTGTTTGCTTCTGGAAATAGATGAAGTTGTTTTTTTTTTTTTTGACATCCCCATTTGCCCTATGAATGAACATGTTCCCAGCAGAACACATGCAATTGACCTCCGCTGACCCCCTTCTCTTATCCTCCACGCAGGCCTCTCATTTTGGGTCCAGCCTCTCTTTTGCTCCTTCTCAGAAAAAGGCTCCTGGAAAGAACAATTATCCTGACGCGCTACATTAGCGGCGCTCGCGCGTCAACACCGAAATGAACCCCGGCTTAACCCGTCGTCGTTGTCCTCGTTCCTCCTCTCTTCCTCGCCGTAATCACAAACCCGAGAGGACACGCTGCCCTGTCATCCCGAGCGGAGGGGGGGGGAAGTGAGCTTTTGTACAAAATGCACGGAAGGTGAGCTGCTTGTCCGTCATCATCACATACGCATCCAGCAACATGCATAAAACCGACGTGGACCGTACGTCAGCTGGTGTGCGCTGGCCTTTTCACGGCAAGTCCTTTGATTTTAGTTGATGTAATTCCATTGTGGCTTAGACAGTATTTATTTTGAAATTTAAATCAATGTTCAAAATGGATCCAGGATTAAAAAAAAAACAAAAAAAACAGTCTTCCCAACCAATCACCAAATAAACACGACTATGACATTTATGATTATATGTACAAACAAATCATTTAAAATAATTTTACCTGGTGTATACATATCAAAAAAGTGAACTCAAAAGCTATACTAAAATGTCAATATTTGTCCAGCAAGGGATTAAAAAAAAAAAAAATTACTGCCACTAGGCAGTGCTATAACCTAAATCTGACTGTGATAGCAACCTGCAGGGAAAACCCGTATTTTCCATGGTCTTATCTTCCATCCAGATGAGCCCTCAAGCTGCCAAAAAAACAAAACCACGAGATCCAAACTGGACTTGACTGTTGCTGCTTTCCGGCATTATCAGATGAAAAAAAGGTGTGCGTGTGTATGTAAGATTTCCTAACTAAAGCCAAGGATGGGGAATATCTTGCTTCTCAGAGCAAGCCTACGTATTGCCTTTGTAGTTAATGCTCCCTGGATCCTTTTTTCGTGTCGCAATTACCCTAAAGTTGTCAGAAAAATACACACTGGCATAAAATGCGGACAGCTGGAAAAAAATATACGTAAGTAAACTGACCATGTATTTTTAGTTCATCGCTTCCCACCACTGATGTTTTATAGGAACATACGATTGTGCGGATTTGCGGAACGGCCGACATAAAACTACTTAAGTAAGCCTTTTTTTTCCTCCCCCGTGTGATTATGTCATTTCGGCCTCCGTATCTCATATTTGATTGTTACTTCGTGTTAACAGCGAGAAGCAGGTGGACGCGCACATGTTAAATGTGTTATTGGACGAGCCAAAAACGCGTGCCGGCTTTAGGACCGCGGGGAGTCCCAGATGATAAGCAATCTAGTCCACTGTTTTGGACTTTCTGGGACTCTTGACAGCCTGGTTGCGGAGTCTAATGGATGCAAACGTGCTTGGTGCACTCGTGGTGCCGTGGGTTACTTTTTGGGGTGGACTGAATGCGACAATGGAACTCAGGATTGAACAGGGCTAAGTTTTGGTGCCTCTCTGCAAAATGGGGCTGTGGGGCTTGCACCGGCGGATACTGTGTTTATGGTTGTTGCTTCTTGGATTCACCTTGCTTCTGCTGATCGTTGCTGACCTTTTCCACGGAGGGGAACGTCACTCCCAGCAAAAATTAGTCGGCGCCCCACGCCGCCCCTTCCAGCAGAGCCTTCGTCCGCCGGACGACTTGGAGCTTCTCGGAGACGCGGCGTTGGAACTTGTACCCGACTTCGTCCCCATCAACTCGCTGAAAGAGGACCAGCTTTTGTTCGTGGCGTCCACGCAGGGCACAAAAGACCCACCGCACAAGAAGGGAAATTACAAGGTGCTCTTGCCCGCGGCGAGGAAGGAATTTCTGTCCGCTCGTGTGGGACAAGGAGCGCCGCCGGATCGCTCTCTGCCCGAGACGCGACATCCTAAGTGAGTCCGCCACGAAACCAAAACCATTTTTTTCCCGCATCGTTCATTTCGATGGCGGGTAAGTTGTTGAGTGTGAGATGATATTCTTTTGTGACAGGTGTCTTGGCGAGCAGTACAGTGAATCTCTGCCCTCTGCCAGCGTGGTCATCTGCTTTCACGACGAGGCTTGGTCCACACTTTTACGCACATTGCATAGCGTCCTCAACACAACGCCCAGATCCTTCTTACTGGAGCTCCTCCTAGTGGACGATCTCAGTACACATGGTATGCGTGCCGACAGGATGGCACTGAGCTTGCATATTATAGTATGGTCGTGGTCCATATGTCCTGATGCATTCTGCTTCACTCATTTATCATTCATCCAACTCTGTTCATCCATCCATTCATCCTCCCATCCAGCATCAAACCAACACTGTCCTCATCAGTTTCTCATTCATCTACTTATCTACGACTCTCTCCTTCTTTCCATCATCCACCCTATTTTCCATCCCACCATCCTACTCACCATCATCCTTTCTCCCATCCTAACATCTGCCCCCTTTTCATCCATCCGTCCATTCGTCCTACTCCCCACCTATCCATGCATCCATTTGTCCCTTCATCATCATCATCCGTCCTACTCTGCATCCATTCATCCATCCATCCTACTCTCGATCATCCCTCCTCCCATCTCTCCCTTCTTCAGCCCTCCTACTCCCCATCCATCATTCATATTTTTTAAAATTCATTGGTAAGAGAAAAACAAAGACAAAGTATATATCTTGCTCATCCGCCTGTTCAACTGGTCCTATGTTACCATCCACAGTCATATCTCCATATGCAACCATCCATCCATTCACCCACTTTGTCTCTTTCCAGATGACTTGAAGACGATGCTCAGTGAATACGTGTCCCAGCTGGATGGGGTGCATTTGATTCGCAGCACAAAGCGTCTTGGGGCGGGCGGGTGCCGGAACCTGGGTGCGTCCAAAGCTTCAGGGGAGGTCCTGGTGTTCATGGACTCGCATTGTGAATGTCACAGTGGCTGGCTGGAACCACTCCTGGAGAGGGTGGCCCAGGACAGGTAAGAGCGGAGTGCGGGGTACATTTCTTTGCCGTTTAATGCACTAGTAGAACGACATGCTATGAGGGAGGCAACATTTTGCACTTGTTAACTGCATGCGACTCGTATTTCTAGTGACATAAAATTCTAAAAGTTGACCTGTCGCGCGTCACTATTCGTACTGGTAACGCGCAGATGTCAACTTGTGCACAGTTTTGCCTCACTAGTAACATTGTTGGTATACTAGTGTACCGTCGTTGTTCGACTAGTACACAGATAAGGCAGTAGTTGAGGGGGAAAAAACTGACACTAGTCAGACAGTTGTTCAACTAGTGACGCTTAGTTATTCTATTTGTGTACAGAAATGTAATTCGAGTCCAGAGTAATAGGGGGAAAAAAAACACCACAGGAAAAAAAAAAAACTTTTCAAATATGCCTCAGTCATTCAAGTAGTCAGCCCTCGTCATTCTATGAATGCGCAAAATTTTGATATTGAGTGCGCTAGTAGCGTGACAAATGCTCAAATGGCTTTCCACAGCAGAGGTTACTGATCTCGTGATCTGGTGCTGCTCAGTCCGTCTGCAGTGTGGCTACAATTAGAATTCCAATTAGGCGCATCTTTGGTCTGGAAATGGTCACGTGATGGTCCGCTATTCTGTTTTGCTCAACATCTTTTGTCTCTGTCAGTGACATTTTTTATTTTTTATTTTTAGGACAATACCACATGATGGAAATATTTCAAACACATGCTAACCACAGCCGAGACTAATAAAAGACGGCGTGTTATTAGACACAGGCGCACACGTCATGCATGTGGTGTTTCTTTGTGCAGGACCAGAGTAGTTTCCCCCATCCTGGATGTGATCCACAGGGACACGTTCAAGTACAACGCCACCCGGTGGCCAGTGTGGGGAGTTTTTGACTGGAATCTGGACTTTTCGTGGGAGTCCAAACCGCAACTACTGGACGGGGACTCAGACTTGGCGATTGAACCTGTACTGTGAGTTTACAGCCTCTGTTATGGCCTCTTTGTGTCATGACTACAGCCCGAAGTTGAACTTCCGTTGTACCGGCGTTCTAACACCAGAGTGGGATGTTTTTCTCAATCCTCTGTCCTTGTGATTATTTCATCCTGTTTTGATTCTGACCGCAACAGGAGTCCAGCCTTAGGAGGTGGAGTTCTGGCCGTTGACAGACATTTCTTCCATAACGTGGGAGCCTTTGATCCGGGGATTCTACTGTGGGGAGGGGAACAAATTGAGCTGTCAATCAGGGTTAGTTTTTGTTTGAAATCCAGCGAGATCAGCCTGAAGAAATATGATTCATGTTCTGAGCTGCGCTGCGCTTGGGTGATCCAGTTGCCTTTTGCCAAGTTGTTGGGAATGTTGTGCTCAAGTCACAGCCTTGGAATGTTTTGCTTTCCACCAGCGATCAACATAGCAAGAAAATATTCCTTGACCTTTAGACGCCATTTTGGGGAAATGCATCTTGTGATGAATCGAATATGACATTGTGCAGCACGCAGAACCAAAAGAACGCTTTTCGCATTCTTTCAAGTGTTAGACGGAATCAAGCAGGAAAACGAAACTTAATCCTTCTGTTATTGCTCATGCTTTCCAAAGGTGTGGTTGTGCGGCGGCTCCATGGAGGTGGTTCCCTGCTCCCGCGTGGCCCACTTAGACTACCACCAGCTCCGCCGCCTCCAAGACCAGGAGCAACTTGAGAGGAACAAGATCCGCATCGCTGACACGTGGATGGACACGTACCGCAATATCTTCTACAGGCGGGACACCTTGGCTCATTTTATACGGCAGGTGTGTGTGGGTGTCAAGTGATATTGTCGTAACTCGGAAAGAGCACAGAATGTACAAAAAAGTGCTTTATTACAGTCTGAGAGGCCCAATATTACCGAGCGCCAGCAGCTGAAGATGACTTTGGGCTGCAGGGACTTCCACTGGTACCTGACGACGATTCATCCCCAACTTTACATTCCGCAGGATAGACCGGGACTCTCAGGCGAGGTAATGTGGACACACACACACACACACACACACACACACACACACACACACACACACAAACACATATACACAAACAAAT